TAATGACATCCAATACAATAAACTCAACAACAATATGGTGACCAGAAAGCTCTAACATTTAGCTGTAGTTTATCATATCAGTATCGTGTATCAGTATATGTAACTGGTACTTTGATAACACAAGCTGTATTAGAACAATGGCATCAAGTATCAGGGAGAAGAAAACACTTAGTTGATCAAAACAGAAGCTTATTAAGTCTGTATGATTGTTAGAAATAAAATAAAAAACATAATACAGACACAGAATTGAATAAAAGGTTTCTAAAAATATCTGAAATATTCATTTCTGATCAAAATTCACAGGGAATAATCTCAGACTTGTTATTGTGTTCACTGTTTGGGTTCAGAGTTTATCAGATGTTGAATATAGTCAGTTTACTCAGTGAGAGATAAGGGCTCCCTTAAGGAAAAAGGTTGGGGACCGCTGACTTATGCAACAGATAATATTCATAACTTGTCAACTACATATTAAAGGAAAAAAGAATGGGACCAAGTATTGAAACATGGGGGACACCACAGAAAATAGAAGCTGTGTACTGGAAAAAAAGTGGATAAAGATAAAGATTTGTTGACTTGCTGATTAACCAATAATGAGCGTTTGAGCATATGGGCTTGAGTTTGCTCTATGTGATTTATAAAATAAATCAAATTGAGTAAATATTCTATATTTTTCTTATTGACATTAAATTCAATTTGTATTGTATTAGTATTTTAGGGCATATAAATGAACTATAATAAACTCTTAATTCTAGTTGCCAAACATTCATTGGTGCAGCTTTTCTCGTCATCTTTTGGGGTTTTCCCAAAGACATCTGAACACGTGAACTCTGGCTTTAGGAAATTGTTTTTCACAATTTTGTGAAGTGGTTCTCAAACCTTTTTATTAATATACCCCTGCATTTGAAATGTTTTCAGCCTAGTACCACCTGACCAGCACCAAACATTCTTGGGAGAAGCAGTGATTTTCCAAGGTGGAACTGCTTTATTCAGTGTTTCAATCAGCAGATGTGTTTGTCTTGGGGATGACAGTTTGGTGTGGATTCAGCTCATGAGGCAACAAACCAGCTTAACTGTCAAATCTTAGATTCTGACTCTCCCTTTCTGCTGTTGTGAAACTCTCACTGTCACTTTGACGAACAGAGGGAGAAAAACCAGATGAGACATTTCCTTTTTTATTTATTTATTTATTTAACCTTTATTTAACCAGGAAAAGTCCCATTGAGTTACAATAACTCTTCTCCCAGGGAGTCCTGGCCAAGACTGGCAGCAAAAAGTTTAAAAAAAAAAATAAATAAAAAATAAATAAATAAATTGGTCTATTTATAGAATGAAGAAGCAGTAAGCAGGCCCTGAGTTTGCTTACTTAATCCATGCCCCTAAATCTTTTATAAACAGTGACATGTAAGAATGCTCTTGCATATTTATTTCACCCAAACATGGATCAGTAGTATTTGGACATTAATGTCTGCTGCTTGACTTCAGGGGGTAATGGTGTGTTCACACCGAACGCAAAGCAAATTTACGCCCCTTAAATCTGTTTTTGCTGCAATTTAATTGTCATAAACTAATTAAAAGGATGCTGAAATAACTCCATCATGATGCCGATTCATAAAACATCTGACTTTATACTTTGTTGCGGACGACAATCAAGCTACTTTTAAAATGCTTGTTTTCTGAATGGAGTTTGGTTGATCAGGGCTATGCTAACTTAGCCGATAACTGTAATCAAAGACACATATTTTCCAACTTGCTCTCCTCCTATACCAGACAATATGTAGTGGAGGTGCCAATCCCTTAAGAATTGTATACAGTACATTAAATAATTATTGTGAAAGATATTCCTTGCAAAGTAGTTCATATCTAGGAAGTATAAAATGATGGTATGGTTTATTGTCCGGCTTTATAGAGAAATTCTACAGGTTTTATCACTGAAACATAGGTAAGAGACTCAGTGTGTAACTGTGTGTTTATATGTGCGAGAATCGTAGCATGAAAATACATTTTTTGTAAGTATTTATAATGAATATGCAATTCTTTAGGTTGAATTTAGTTTTTGCGACAACATGCTTAACTTCATTAAAAAGCAGAGAGTGTACAGTAATGACACAGACTTTTCTTGATTGCAAGGTCCAGTGTATGATGGATATAAATAACCTCAAAATTGAGTCAAAGATGAATCAAAATCAGCCCACTGGGAGTTAAAATATGCCAATGTCCTGTTTAAACAGTAATTTGGTACTTTCAGAATCCCCCTAAAAAAATGTCCTATATTGTCTAAAAAGCAGTTGCTGAAATAATGTCCACATAGGTGATTATGCTTATTAATTGCTAATTACGATAATTTGCCAACATGTGCAAGTCAGCATCTGGCAGTTTCTAAATACTGGGGACCCATGAAATATATTTCTAACATAAAACTCAAAATGTTTTGGTTCACATTGACTATCACCACACCAATGTATTTGAAGCTGGAAACTACTAGCTTCTCCCTTTAGGAGCTAGGTTTCGTTTGTGCCACCCTTGATTAAACATTGACTAATAATATATCTGTCTGTGTCTGTTCTCCTCCACAGACGCAGTCAGGGTGTACTATCCATTGTGAGCTCTTCGAGATGGCAGAACCAGAAATCTTCCTCAATATACTTCGTGAAACTCTTCTTTTGATGAACACTTTGCACTGCACACAAGAGACTAGATGAGACTAGATTTTGTTTTTATCATGGACTTTTCATATTACCAGAGTATAAATAAAGTGCATAATGCTTGATGTCTGAGGATCTCAGTGGTATTTAATTCACAACTGGAGAGGTGGAAACGGAGGAGTTTCACTTTGAAAACAAAGGGAAACAAAGCATCTGCATTTTGGTGGAGGCTTGTTCGTGCTCGAAGTCAACATGGAAGTAACAAAAACTGCAGTTCCTCTATCAGCCACTTGAAGCTGGCTCCACGGAGACTACAGCTATTTGTAGTTACGTAGTCTGTGGTAGAGGTTGTGGTATGATTGATAAGTAAAATGCAAAAAAAGGTGTGTTTTAGTCATATTTTCTGGTTTTCGATGGGTGAAGAGAGAGAAAAGGATGGAGGTGGTATCTGTGTGAACACATAAAAGATCCCTTGGCATCCAAATCCAGATTTGGACAGGGTGGACAGAGTCTGGATGTAATAACAACTTTTTAAGTGTGTTGAACAACCAGTAAATCCTCAAGTCAATAGTCCATCAAGCCCACCCTCTTTATCTCTTTATCTCCCCCTTGAAACTAAATATGTTAAAAAAAAAAAAAAAGGTTTAAACAGTGTATTGTAGATTTTGGTGAACTCAGTTTCTTCAGAAGCATCCAAATCACTTCATGAAAACTGGAGTTTGGTCCAAGTTTTGTTCCCCAAATCCCTAATCCAGGTTGTTATTACCAAACATCATTTTCCAATGAATTTCCAGGACACAAATACACTCATGCCAAAAAAAATTGCTGCAAATTCATTCCATATCTTGTAAACCGCACAGGTTCTAAGAGGCTAAAAGATTCCAGAACAACATAAATTATTTC